TTCTTCTACTACCCAGTCGCTTTTCAGCAGGTTGTTATTCAGTTTCCATGTATTTGACTTGATTTCCTTGGTATTCTTATTGTTGATTTCTAATTTGATAGCATTGTGGTCTGAGAAGATGCTTTGTAATATTTTGATATTTGTAAATTCATGGAGATTTGTTTTGTGGCCTAAGACATGGTCTATTCTGGAGAATGTTCCATGTGCACTGGGATAGAATGTGTATTGTGCTGTTGTTGGTTTGAATGCTCTGTACACATCTATGAGGTCCAGTTGGCTGATTGTGTTGTTTAGTTCTTCTGTGTCATTGTCAAGTTGCTTTCTTGTTGTTCTTTCCATTTTTGAAAGCAGTGTATTAAAATCACCCACTATTATAGATTCATCAATGTCTTTCTTCAAATGTATTAGATTTTGCCTTATATATTTTAGAACTCTTTCATTGGGAACATAGATATTTATTATGGTTATGTCATCTTGTTCAATTGTCCCTTAAAACAGGAGATAATGTCCATCTTTATCTATCATGCTGGTTTTTAACCTTAAAGTTTATTTTATCAGAAATTAGTACTGCCACTCCACCTCTGGTAGCATAGTGGTTTTGAATCGGGCTGCTACCCTCAGGGTCTTCAGTTCGAAACTATCAGCTGTTCTGCAGGAGAAAGATGAGGCTTTCTCCTCCCGTAAAGTTTTACAGCCTCGGAAAACCTGTACAGGGTCGCTATGAGTTGGAACCGACTCCACTGCACATAACAACAGTAACTCCTGTTCTATTGCAATTAGCTAGGCATAGTTTTTTTCCATCCTTTGACTTTTAATCTGTTTTTCCTCTGAGTGTGAGATGTGTCTCTTGCAGACAGAATATTGAAGGATCTTGTTTTCTTATCCATTCTGCCACTCTCCATCTCTTAACAGGTGCATTTTATCCATTTACATTCAGTGCAATTATTGATAGGTATGGATTAATTGCTGCCATTATGTTTGTTTTTTTGTGGTGTTGCTGCTTTCTTTGTTCTGTGTGTCTTCCTTTTTTGAGTTCATGCTTTTGTGTTCTGTCTTGTGAGTTTCTTCATAGTTTTAATGTTTCCATGTTCTTCTTGGATTTTCATTTTCTTGGTATGTTGTGAAGTGTTCATTTTCTTTGAGGTTGCTTTATAGTCCATTATTTTTTCTCTCCATTTAGTGTAGTCTATTTTATCATGTAATCTACCTGATCTTCTCATCATCTGGATCTCTGTTCCTACGTGTTTACCTTCTTTTACATTGTACTTGTTGTAATCATAGACTGTCCTCCCAGATTTTCTGAGTTTGTTCTTATAGTTTTGTTCTGTTCTCGACTCTTCCTTCTGTCAACTTAATTCTGGGAGTTGCTGCCATGTATGTCAATCTCTGGTTGTTGTCTGTTCTTGCTGGTTCTCAGTCCACAGAACTCCCTTTAGGATGTTTTGTAGTGCAGGTTTGGCTTTGGCAAAATCCCTTAGCTTCTGTTTATCCTGTAATATTTTGATTACACCATCATATTTGATTGATAGCTTTACTGGATAAAAGATTGTTGTTTGGCAATTTGTCTTTCAGGGTTTTATATATGTCTCTGCATTGCCTTCTTGCTTGCATGGTTTCTGCTGAGAGATCTGAGCTTAATCTGACTTGCTTGCCTTTGTATGTAAAACTTCTCTTTTCCCTAGCTGCTTTCCGGAGTGTCTCCTTATCTTTTGATTTTGGAGAGCTTGAGTATGATATGTCTCAGTGATTTTCTTTTGGGGTCTGTCCTTCCTGGGGTTCGTTGAGCTTCTTGAATGTTTATCTGTTCACTTTTCCGGATGCTAGAGACATTTTCTTTCAGCAGTTCTTCAACTATTTCCTCTGTGGACTTCTCCGATTCTTCTTGTTCTGGAATCCCAATAATTCTTAAATTATTCCTCTTCATGTTGTCCCACATTAGACCTTCTTCAGATTATTTTATACTTTTTTCTTTTTGTTCTTCTATCTTAGTTGTATTGAGAGATTTGTCTTCCAGCTCACTATTTCTGCTTTCCATCTCTTCTATTCTACTCCTTTGCCCTTTCAGGGTATTGTCTATTTCTGATATTCTATTATTGATGGTTTGGACCTCTTTCTGTACGTTTTGAATTGTTTCTATCTTTTTTGATTGTTCCTGTGGTGCTTTCATTATTTTTCTCAACTCTATTTTAAGATGTTTTGAAACATTTTATAATATTTTTTCTGAATTCCTTCTCAGGCATTTCCAAAGTCTGCCCTCCTTCCAGAATGGAATCCTGGTCTACTTCTAGTCATTTGTCTCAGACATTTTATCTTGTTTCTGGACATGTGCTGATATGGTCTTCTGCTTTTGCTTCTTGGACATGTTTAGTGTTTATCTGTGGCTTTAATATTTATTGAGTATGTGTTTTTGTTTTTTGTTGTTGTTGTTGTTTTTGCTTTCTGATTGCTTCCAGGTAGATGTGATCAGGATGTGGACTTCCCTTTTTACTCTTCTTATTGCTTAACTCAGAGTAACTTTCACAGGTGTTTTCTGCCTCCCTGGTATATGGTGGTTGATATTGGTGCTTGCCTAGGTTTTGGTGTTTTATAGAGTGTGATTGTAGCTTGACTATATAGCAGCAGTTGCTGACTCTTCTTGTGTAATATAGGGAGAGAAGAGTCCCACAAAAGTAGAATGGGGAGCATAAAACAGCAAAACAGCACCAGCAAAAAGAAAAAAAAATACCCAAACAACAACAACAAAACAAAACTAGACTGAATAATGCAGTGTATAATCACAGAAAGGGGAGAGGCGGGAGAGAAGTAAAAAATAAAATTTGAAAAAAAAAAAAGGAAGAAAATCTGTAGCCTCTTATGAGTATGACTTTAATGTCCTCTCTTCATCTTCTTGCTTTCAAAGCTGCCTGAGAGATTTCAAGGTGCCACTGTTGGTTGTTATGCTGTACATCGGGCTTCAATTTAATTTTCAGCCTGTTTTGTTTTTAAACTCTCTTTCCCTCTCTACAGCCCTGCCCTGCCCTGTCCTTTATTTAAAATTAAAAAAATCATTCATAGCCTTCTCTTGGGCTGAGTATCTGTGAGCGTGTGTGTCAGAAGAACCCACCAGTGGTGAGGTTGGGAGTTATCCACCTGCTCAGGCACCCCCTCTAGTCACCAGAATGGAGGTGCACAAACAGTGGCAGGGGACAAATGACCAGATACCAAAAAAAAAGAAAAGAAAATCAGAACAAAGTAAAACCAACAAAGTGTATTGTCCACCTTTGCTTCAAGGTTCCCACGGCATTTTTCTGTTGTGTTTCTGCTCCCCTGCTTGGTCTTGCCGTTTGGTCTCACCCAAGATGTCTGCTCTGGGCCTCTGAGCCCAGCAGATTCAAAAGTATGTGATTTCTTACTTCCAATTCAAGTTCCACTAGCTATAAGCCATCAAACTTTAAAAATTGTCTAAGCTATGTGGTTCCAAATTTTGGAGCTCTGCTGTGAATCTGCTTTGCCTGGTATTCTGTGGTATTGCTGATGGCAAACTTCACTGCACCTCTACCCTAGCAGCCATCAAGTCCCCTGTTTCATATGTCTTAGTGGTAATTATGTTCCATGGAGTCGGTACCAACTCATGGTGACCCTGTACAGGATTTCTGAGACTTTAAATCTCACAGGAGCAGAAAGCCTCATCTTTCTCCCAAGGAACAGCTGGTAGTTTTGAACTTCTGACCTTGCGGTTCACAGCCCAATTCATAACCACTACACTATCAGAGCTCCTTATTAGATATCTTATTGGATAGTTCCTTTTATGTCCTCCAGTTTTAGGGTTCAAAAAAAAAGAGGTGTATTTCCCATATCTATAGAAATTGGTCATAGAAGGATTCTAGTTTTTAAACCATGCATAATTGTTGTTGTTGTTAAATGCCATCTAGTCAGTTCCAACTCATAGCAGCCCTGTATAGGGTTTCCTAGGAGCAGCTGGTGAGCTTGAATCGCTGATCTTGCAGTTCAAAATGACTTTGCAGTCCAACACAGTAACCCACAGCACTAAACCAGGATTCCCATGCATAATTAAGTCCCATGAATTTATTTATGCAAGTTCAACCATATTGGAAGATTTTAAAGAATTTACATATAACCTTTGTGATGATTTTATTTTAAAATGAAAAGTGATTCACTTTCTGGGAAACTTACTGAGATGTTCCTAAACAAAGCTCAACTTTTTAAAAAAGTGTGTTTTAAACCATGAACTTTAACAATGTATATTTTTAAATTATGTACCCAGGAACTCATTTGAAACATATATAAAGGAATTTTATATTCATGTGTGGTGGTTCATTGTTAGAATTTTTCACCTTCTTTACAGGAGAGCTGGGTTAGATTCCTGGACAATCTACCTCATGCATAGCCACCACCTGTCAATGGAGGCTTGTGCAGTTTATGATGTTGAATAGGTTTCTCTGGAGCTTCCAGATGAAGATGGACTAGGAAAGGCCTGTTGATCTACTTCTGAAAATCATCCAATGAAAACCTTATGGATCACATCTGTAACTAATCATGAGGGTGATGCAGGACCAGGAAGGATTTGGTTCCATTGTGAATGAATTCCCTATGGGTCAGGGGACAGCATGGCAGGAGTTAACAGCAAACACATGTGTAGGCATTATACATAATCTGAGATGATCAATTGCAAGATGTTACCGGAATCTGTGGATATCATAGCTTATAAGATTTATTTGAAAGTTATTTAAATATTCTGCAATTTAGGTCTTCTGCTAGTCTGGGACATTCTTCAATGTCCAAAAAATAACTGGAGTGAAAAATAACTCCTGTTATTTTAAAGTTAAGGGGTGTTACTTTATGTGTAGAAAATGAGAGAACACAATTGGAAGACTATGAACTTATTACATGCAGGATACTGTCATAACATCATGTGTACATAGGAATTGTGTCTTGTAGAAGGTAATATTACAGGAGTGGACCATTTTGGATATTTATTTGTTATGGTTTCTTTTTTGCAGAGTTGTGAAAACAGTGGCTGTGAAAATACTGAAGAATGAAGCCAATGACCCAGCTCTCAAAGATGAGTTGTTAGCAGAAGCCAATGTCATGCAGCAGCTTGATAACCCTTACATTGTGCGTATGATTGGGATCTGTGAGGCTGAGTCCTGGATGTTGGTGATGGAGATGGCGGAACTTGGGCCCCTTAATAAATACCTGCAGCAGAACAGGTATCTTTACTGCAGCTGCCCCTCAAAAGAACAGAAGTCCCTCTGCTTTCCTTCTCTACTCCCCACTTCTTCCTAGCATTGATACATACTCTCAAGCATGGACCTTGAGAGGAGAGCACAGAGATGTCATCTTTGAGTCAAATTCTCTTTTGCTCTTAATACTCAGTGAAAAACTCTAACCTAATAATTTTGTCTACATTCTCCCTTACTCATTCTGTATTGACCAAAGATGAAGATAAATCCAGCCTCATTGCATCTTGACAAGAAATCTCCCCTCACAGATGCAGAAAACATCCTTTTTTTTTTTTCTTTACTATGTTGAAATATATATAACAAAACATTTTCCACTTAAGTCATTTTTACATGTATACATCAGTGACATTAATTACATTCTCTATGTTGTACAACCGTAAAGATTTACAGCCTCTGAAACCCTGTGCAGGGTCGCTATGAGTTGGAACTGACTCCATGGCACATAACAACAACAACAACAACGTGTTGTACAAAGATGATCTGTTTCCAAACATTTTCATCACCTTTAAGCAAAGCTCAGTGCCCTTTAAGCAATCACTCCCTCTTTCTCTTTCCTGCCTATTCCTGGTAAACACTAATATATTTTGATCTCTCTGCATTTGCCTATTCTATATTGCATATAAGTCAGATCATGTAATAGTTGTCCCTTTGTGTCTGACTTATTTCACTCAGCATAATATTTTCAAGGGTAATCCATGTCATACATAAGAACTTCATTCTCCTATAGCTGAATAGAATGCACTCTTTTTAAAGAAGCATTTTATAAGAGATAATAATTTTGTATATCTGACTGAGAATCAACCCCTAAGCTCTCATGAGTAATTGCTTCTGAAAATATTAGTTAACTCTTAGTTAGGAATAGTTACATTATGTTAAACTATGTCATGCTGGGTAAGATGGAGAGTCAGAGAAAAAGAGGAAGACACCCAACGAGATGGATCAGCCAGGTGGCATCATTGATGGCGTCAAGTGTGGCAGTGGTGGTGGGCTTGGCCCAGGATCAGACATTGTTTCGTTCTGCTGTGCATAGTGTCGCTATGAGTTGGTTCCGACTCGATGGCACCTGACAACGACAACAACACAAAGCTATTATTGGGATGGAGGAAATCACATGGAATAATTTAATCCTCTGGGTCATTCCTGGATCAGGCTACTAACCTAAAGGTTGAAAGTTTGATCCTACCCAGCAGAGCTGCAGAAGAAAGACCTTGTAATCTACTTCCATAAATATTACTACCAAGAAAACCCTGTGAAGCAGTTCTACTCTTGCAACTCATGGACTATTCCTTTTTGCTACCGTATGCTTCTGCTTTACTCAGATTTTATCTTTATGTTGTTGTTGTTAGGTGCCATAGAGTAGGTTCCCACTCATAACGACTCTGTTAAGGATTTTCAGGGAGCAGTTGGGTTTGAACTGCCGACTTGTGGTTTACAGTCCAGTGCTGATCCTAGTCTAAATAGAAAGGGATTAGTGTTATCCCAAGTTTATAGATAAGAAACTAAGGGTTAGGGTAGATTTTATTACTTGTTGAGTGTTAGATTAATTATATATGAAACCTGACTCTTTATAAACTGTTCTATAGTTTTTAATGCAATTTCATGGAAGCACCACATAAAAATCGTATACATTGAGCAGGAGAAAGAGAAAGGCATTTAGTCTTGAATAGCTGCTTGTGAATAAGATCATTCATCACACTTTGTGACTCTTTATTTAAGAAAACAGGAAATTAATTAATATCTCTTCTGTGTGAATGGGGAGTGTGGTTGGTTATTCTAAAATAGACCATTGTCCACTATCACTACTGACTCATTTGTAACTTTCAGGCACGTCAAGGATAAGAACATAATAGAGCTGGTTCATCAGGTTTCTATGGGAATGAAATATTTGGAGGAGTGCAATTTTGTTCACAGAGATCTAGCTGCAAGAAATGTGTTGCTGGTTACTCAACATTATGCCAAAATCAGTGATTTTGGACTTTCCAAAGCACTTCGTGCTGATGAAAACTACTACAAGGTAGGAACAACTTAGATAATCTTAAGAGCAGTTGTTGTAAAGTGCTGTCAAGTCAGTTTCAACTCGCAGTGACCCTGTATAGAGTTTCCAAGGAGCAGTTTGTGAGTTTGAACTGCTGACCTTGTGGTTCAAACTGGCCTTTCCAGTGCTTTATCTCACAGCACCATACCGGGACTCCTTAAGAGCAGTAGTTAGTATGTATATGAAATGTATATTTATTAATAAGCAATTTCCATATTTAAAATAACTGTATAAAAATATATTACGTTTGATTCTTGTTTTTTAATGAAAATACTGTAATATTAAAGTATTATAATACATGTATATCTTGATTTAAGATCTAGTCAGAAAGTTGTTTTTTGCTGCCGTCAAATCATTCTGACTCATGGCGACCCTGTATAGGGTTTCTGAAGAGCCACCAACCTTGTGGTTCAAACTGACCTTTCAGTCTAGTGCATTATCCTACAGGGCCACACCAGGACTCCATATTCAAAAAAGTATCTGCCAAGCTATGTTCCATGGAACCATATGGAATCAAGATTCTAATTGATGATTTGTTTAAAAATATATATAAAGAAGAAGAAAAATACAATTTCTTCATTAAGTTACTTTGGAAAATGTAGGTTGAGCAGATTTCATTCTTGCAGGATTTGTCAGAACCCTTATCATATCAGTCTGCATTATGAAATTCAGTAGATGCTTTTGATCTGCAGCATTTTTCATACCTAGTTTATCCATTGAATTATTTTCTGATAGATGATCTGTATCATAACATCTTGAAAAACAATGTTCTATATCATATAGTTTGGATCAATTCCAAAATAACTTAAAATAATATGTTCCAAAACAAATCAAAATGAAATATGAAAAAATAAAGAGAAATATTAGCTATGGAAGCAAATGAGAACTAGTCACGGAAGTGTATTTGTGCAACATCAAAAATGTAAACCCAAGTACCCTTGATCTAGCTTTTCTTAATGAATACATGGGGGCTTCAAAAAAGTTCATGAAAAATGTAGAGTTTTTTCACACTTTTTGAAGCCCCCTTGTATATCTACATACATGGACAGATGTACATTATCAGTAATGTTCACTATAGCCTTATTTGTTGTAGCAAAAATTTATAAAATACCTAGTTGCCTATAAGTAGGAGGCTGGTTAAACTAATCATGACAGATTCATACATAGATTCCAATCTAAGATTTTTGAAAATGACTTTATTTGTATGTACATATATATAAATATGTCCATGACACATGGTCAATATAAAAAAAAATTCTAAAGATAAGTGCATAAAACTTTTGTTATAAAAAATCACTTTAATTTATTATTTATTTATGCTTCTAAATATATTTGTTTAGAAGAAAATAAGAAAAACTACTGAAAGTGGCTGCCTCTGTGAAGAAAGACCAGGAATTGGCGGTAGATAGGGGTTACCTTTACATTTTATTTAAGCCTTTTCTAAGGTTTATCTTATTATTAGTTTAAAATTCAAAATAAACTTGAAATAACACACATCCCTTTATTTTCCACAACTTTTTGAATTCAACCTAAAAGTAATATGTAACATGGCTGAGATACAAATGTAATTTCTTATGTTATTTAGTGAAGAAAATCAAGTCACCTTATGATTTCCAAGCTAACGTCCCCGTATTACCCCTTTTGACCTGCTATAATAGTGCTGATCATTTCCCCCCTTGTGCCCGAAGAGACCTCACACAGATTACACAATCATATCAACAAGCTTCTCCAAACAGTGTGCCATCCTTAATCTCCACCCCAAAGGAAAGAGTTTTGTTGAGCCTAATTTTGATCTTTTTCTTACTGCCACTTGTTTTTCCAAAGTAATAGAATTAGAAAAATTTAAATATTAAAAAAAAAATTATGCTAGCAAATAGTCTTATGCCAATGCATTATCATTGGCTTAAAACTATAGACAAATGGACAGCAGTGGTATTTATGAACAGTGTGTCCCATCTTTCTTGGAGCATAACTGTAAAGTTCAGGCTCACAGCACCATAAAAGTCATATAAATAATCTGACATCTAGACTCTTCCATAACCATCTACAAATTACATAAAGCTGTCTTTGGCTAAAGAGAAAGATGAGGAAAGAAAAGATTAAAGCATGCTAGCAATTTGGACTGAACCTGACAAATACACACACATGTATTTTTAAGATTTAGATTATATGTATACAAACACACCCATGACATTTTGTGAGTCAGAATTTTATTTTATTATACTTTTAATGTGGTGCTGAGAGAAGGCAATAATATGCCTAATAACACATATAAACTAGATCAGATTTACAAACCAAACATGTTGGTTCCATACTAAGAGACGGGAGGGAAGATGAAATGGGTGTTATCATTAAGTCTTTTTAATATCACAAGGTTCAATATATAATTTCTGTAACACAGAGCATTCTATTAAGACTTTACAGCTAACCACCCACTTTTAATTCCCTTTTGTTATTGACTTTTGAATGAATTACTCATTGAGACTAGAAAACTCTTTCTGTACCTCAGCATAATCTGTTAAGAAAATATATCTAGGATTTTATTTTGTTCTAGATAATATTTTATTATGTCTTTGATTAAGGTTTACACAGAAGTTTAGATTTCTGTTCAACAGTTTCTACATAATATGTTCAATGACAAATGCCAGCTTGCATTCTCCAGGTCCAGAGAAGTTGCCTGCTTTTCTTGCCATTGTAGTCATTTGAATCTTAGTTCTGTACATCTGTCTATATCCCTTATGATAGTGCTTGGATAGTGCTTATCATAGGTAAGTTTTCTCCTTTTTCATAAAACATCTTTTGGTCAAATTTCTTTCTCAAGTGCTTGATCTTTAGTTTTTTGAAATTCCTTTGCTTTTTCTTAAGGGTCTCTGGCACAGCAGGAACTTTCTTTTTCTTCTCTTCAACACTTTCCAGGGTTCCAACTGGTTAAAAAAAAAAAAAAAAAAAAAGGAAGTTGGCACCTGTGTACTGTGCACTGTCCACTTGAAGACTCAAAATAATTATTGACCATTTGGTCTCATATAGATGATGTTTTTTTTTAAGGAGCATGGTATTCATAGGGGATGTTCTTTATTTTGTGAGTCAGCCCGCTATTTAGCTAAAAGGTGACTTTTGGGCAAGTTTCAGCTCAAGGCCTGAAAAGTATCTCAAGGCAATCATCTCAGAGAGTTCTCAAGTATCATCTAGTCCAGAAAAGTTGATTTTTTTTTTAAAGAACTTGAGGTTTCTGTTCCATATTTTCTCTCCCATTCCATCAGGTCCACCTATCGTAGCCTAGATGAGAAAACTTGTTAGTGGTGGGAGAATTAGGCCTTGCTTCATGTAGATTATTATTTTTTTAGACAAGTTTCTTTTTGAGTCTCTGGCTTCTTTTTTTCTCTTTTGCTCCAGATAAATAGATACCAATAGTTGTATCTTAGATGATTGCTTGTACATATTTTTAAAAACTTTTATTATGAATTGTGTGAAGGTTTACAGATAAGATCATCAGCTCTATATTCATCAAACTATGTACCTAAAAAGTTTCATCTCAATAACTGTAACCCCCCCCGTCACAAAATTTATCCTACTTCTTCCCTGTGACTCTTATTTACATTTTAAATTTCACAAATGAACAAGGCAAAAATATTTTATATAAACTTGCTTAGCAAAAAATATATATTCACTTAAATGTCCAAATGGCACATTCTGACAGCCAACCTCCTTCCCACTCTTCCTTCTTGATGGTGCTGGAATTGCCTGTTCCTGAAATGAAAGATTAGCTACTCCCCTCTTTTAGTTACATCTACAATTATAGTTGTGATTGCAATTCATCCTGCTAACAGTTATTTACAGTTGAGTCATAGAATCCTATCATTGTTGTTTCCCATCCCCTTTTAGGTTATCCATCTGGGAAATAGGGAAACTATTCAGTTGGGATTCTACCTTAACCCCTTTATTCTGAAACACATTCATGAAAGCTTGTAAGCCAGCCACTTCATGCCTTTGTAGCACCCCCATTTTTGATAATCAGTGTCTAAATTTCCTGTTCTATCAACCAGTACACTGAGGAAACAAGTTTGTTGCTTGATATGAAGAATCCTAATATTAGAATTTTGAGTCACTGCATTCATAGTCAAAGTGTAGTTCATTAAATTGTAGCAATTTGCACTGGTTCTCAGTATCAAATATCTTTATTTTCCTCAGTTTGAGTTCTGGTCAACTAGCTATCCAAGCTATGTCAAATGGGTACTAACTGCAAGTTTGGGAGTTCACGCACACCTCCCTGCACATCAGACCAGTTGACTGCTTCACTCTCAGGTCTACCCCCTGGTGGCTTGGTCATTGCCTTACTCTTCTCTCTCTTATCTCATGGTCAGTGGGGGCTAATGAACTTTGCTAAATTCAGCCCATGTCTTCATTGCTGCAGTTCCCCTACTGCCACTCACAAGTAGACCCAGATAGTCATCAGTGACATACTTACTGTACTGCTCAGGGTTTCCCTTTGAGTTTCAATTCTAGACAGGGGTTTTCCTTAATAAGCTGACATTTCTTTCCTTGATGCCTCCAAAGCAAACAGTCTGCTTGATACTCATGCAGTCAAACCATCCTTTTTTTTTTTTTTTTTTTTTCCTGCAGGTCTTTCTTTCAATAAGAATCTTCTGTTCTCCTAGTTCTCACTTGATGTGCAAGTGGGAATGTCCCAACTCAGAAGATTCTGAGTAAGGATCAGGATTCCACCTAAGGCCCCATACTCTACGAAGACATAACAAGAAGCCTATTTCTCTGGGCAAATTCTATGTCCCCTTTTAACAAATACATTCAGTTATAGGCTGAAGGTGGGCTCACAATCTTTCAGTCATCATATTTCCCAGTATTTATTTCTGTCACATATAAATGTCTACTTTACGATCGTAGGCAGGAGAAACCAATATCTATAAGACAGTCAAGCACATAAACATTTCTTCCCTTCCTTTCCCCATGCAGCCTGTCATGATCCATGTATCTACTCACAGCACACTGTTATTCCAAAGTTGTATATAAATCATTATTCACATCTATACCATTTAGCCAATGCATAACTCTCAAAGTCTTCTCCTATCTTAAGTGTTCATCTGCCATCCTTCCTCTTCTTGTGTATGTCCTCCAGTGTAGAAATTCCATTAGAACTTGTCTAACATGAGTGACCCTACTGGTATTTGAAATATTGGTGGTTTGGCTTACAGCATCACACAATAAGAAACTGACAAGGACAAGTGATGAATTTATGCAATAGTAATTCCCAAAAACTCCTTTTATGTTATATACATTGACATTGTTTACCTTTGTGGCATTACCTCTGTGAAGGTTTATATACTTCACTCTCATTTGGCACTACCAATCCCATCATGAAAAACAATAAGTGCCTGATGTGGCACTGTAGATGAATGTGCTGGACTTCAAAGTTGGTTTGAACCACAAGGTCAGCAGTTCAAGCTCACCAGCCACTCCCTAGAAACCCAACACAGGGTCACTGTGAGTCAGAACCAACCTGATGGCACAACATTTTGAAAATTAATCCACACCCTCCCCCACTCTCAATCTCTGATCAACACTGATAGATATTAGTTTCATGTCATTCCATAATAGTGAAAACATAAAATATGAGGTGCTTTTTGTATGTTCCAAGATGGTTTGAGAATTTTTTTTTAACCACTAAGTAGTATTCCATTGTCATATGTACCACATTTTACTTATCCATTGGTGAGTACTTAGGTTGTTTCCATCATCTTTTTGCTATTGTGAATAGTTCTGCAATAAGCATTCCAAAACCAAAAACACTTCCATTGAGTTAATTCTGACTAATAGTGACCCTATAGGACTAAGTAGAATGTTCCATAGGGTTTCCAAGACTGTAAATCTTTACAGAAGCAGACTTCCCATCTTTCTCTCACATAACTGCTGGTAGATTCAAACCACTGACCTTTCAGTTAGCAGCCAGCCACTTTAATCACAGCTCCTGTAAGGCTTCTAAAATGGACCCTTGTTGTTGTTGTTTAGTGCTGTTGAGTTGGTTCTGACTTACAGCGACCCTGTATAGCCACTCCTTTGAAACGGCTGGTTTGTTTGAATTGCTGACCCTGCAGTTAATAGTCCAGTGCTTATCTTGCAGTACTATACCAGAACTCACAATGCACATAAATATCCATATATCTGCTTGATTCATTTTTATAGGATCCTTAAGGTATATACTGAAACCAAACACTCCAAATCTGTTGTCTTCAAGTCAATTCCAACTCATAGCTACCATATAGGATAGAGTAGGACTGTCCTATAAGGTTTACAAGGCTATAAGTTTTTATAGAAGTAAACTGCCACATCTTTGTTCCCATGGAGTGGCTGATGGGTTGACACTACCAACCTTTTGGTAGCAACCTAGCATTTAACAGCTTTGCCTCCAAGCTACAAACCTAGGAGTAGAAGTGCTGGGTCACATGGCAGCTCTGCCCTTCAGGGTTTTTTTAGGACCTCCAGACTGTTTCCCACAATGGCTGTATCACTTTGTATTCCCACCAGCAGATGAGGGTTCCAGTTTCTCCATATCCCTTTCAACAATTATTCTATTCTGTTTTGTTTGTTTGTTTTTAACCTTAGCTATGGAGTCCTGGTGTGGCGCTGTGGGTTAATGTGCCAGACTGCAAAGCCACTTGAACTGTGGGGTCAGCGGTTCAAACTCACCAGGTGTTCCTCAGAAACCCTATACAGGGTTGCTATGGGTCAGATTTAACTCGACGGCATTTAACAACAACAACATCCTAGTGGGAGTGAAATAATATTTATTGTGGCTTTGATTTGCATTTCTCTGATAGCTAATGGTGTTGAGCATCATTTCATGTATCTGTTAGTCATTTGAATATCATCTTTGGTGAATTATCTGTTCATGTCCTTTGCCTATTTTTTGATTGGCTTATTTGTCTTTTTTTTTTGTTTTTTCTTGTTAAATTCTAGATGTTTTACACACACACACACACACACACACACACACACACACACATATATATATATAATCTTAAATATTAGACCCTTATCAGGTATGTCATACCCAAAGATTTTCCTAGTCTGTAGGTTGTCTCTTTGTTCTTTTGATAATACCTTCTGATGACTATAAGTATTTAACTTTCATGAGGTCCAAGTTTATCTATTTTGTTTTCTGTTGTGTTAGATTGGTGAAAATTACATCATTGAGTAATATTAGGTCCCAAAACTTTGCTACTATAGGCTCTTCCAATGACTTTATTGTTTTTGATTTACAATTTTATTTTTAATGATGGTTTTCTAGTCATCTAGGCATTCCTGGTAGGTACAAATGGTCAAGAAATCAACTACTGGCCAGAAAGTTAACAGTTCAGATCCACTCAGTGGCACCTAGAAAGACAGGCCTGGAGATCTGCTTAGAGAATGTCACAGAATGAAAACACCATGATGCAGTTCTACTCTGCACATATGGGGTTGCTGTGATTTGGAATCAACTCAACAGCAACAACAACTCTGCTTGCTTTTCTTGCAGGCCCAGACTCATGGGAAGTGGCCTGTGAAGTGGTATGCTCCAGAATGCATCAACTACTACAAGTTCTCCAGCAAGAGTGATGTCTGGAGCTTCGGAGTGCTGATGTGGGAAGCATTTTCCTATGGGCAGAAGCCATATCGAGTAAGCCACTAGTGTTTCTTTCATAATTATGTAGTCATTATATATAATAGGCACCCAGTTCATCTTGACAATAGGCAGTTAATATGACTTTACCTTCTTCTAAATTGAAAAATAAATATGTGATGCCAACTGAACATTATTCATTTTTTCTTTTTGTGCATTGCATATATAAATATAAATAAAATATATAGCTAATTTTCACTAGAGTTGAAATAAAAATGATGATTTTGTACAATATCAAATTCTAAGTTGTTAAATTTTTAAAATACTTTTTATATAAAAAAATAATGATCATACAAAAAAGTACATAAATCCTGGGATATAGCTGGATGAATTTTCACAAATAGAATATACCCATGAAAGCAGCCTCCAGGTGAAGTAACAGAACAGAACCCCTGAAAGCCACTCCCCACCACATCCCACTGAAGACACAAGACTTGCCCCAAGATTAACCCTGTCTGATTTCTAACACCATAGATTGAATTCTCCTGGTTTTATACTTTACCTAAATAAAATTGCCTATCATGTACTCTTTTGTATCTGTACATATTTTAGTGGGTAAATTGGTTGTTTGTTTTGCTTTGTTGAATAGTCCTTTAAAAGCTCAGGTACATGGTTTGTTTTCAGGGAATGAAAGGAAGTGAAGTGTCTGTTATGCTAGAAAAAGGAGAAAGGATGGGGTGCCCTCCAGGCTGTCCAAGAGAGATGTATGAACTGATGAATCTGTGCTGGACATATGAGTGAGTACCAGATGCTTCCCTTCCATGCATGTAATTACTCTGGGGGTAGGTGGCTGGATTTAAAAAGATGCATAAAGTCTGTCTTTTCATTAATTTGGGATGTGCTTCCTTCTAAACAAGCAATAGAGGAGAAAACAAAGCCAAACACAAACAAAGAAGCTGCTTCTACTTTAAGATATCTTGATTCCTGAACTATGTAGTTGTATTTGCTAGAGCCTAAAGAATAATTTTAGATTATTAATCTAGATTATTAAAATTCCAGTGGAGATAATAACAATAAGTAAAAAGTTGTCTGTAATACTCTGGTGCTGTATACCACATTTGTTAATTAAGGATAGCAAAAATATTAGCAGGAGAATATATACTTTTATCATTCATACTTTATTAGTGTAATATGAGTATTAAGTAGCATATTTAGTGAAATATGAAAATTAAGTAGCACTTCTCTAAAAGCTCCTCAGACCCTGAATCAGTGATCCTTAGCATCAAACCTGGCAGGGGCATTCTGGTATCCAAAGAGCCTGCCAAGGCCCTGGGGAAATCTTTTTTTGACTATAATTATTAAGGATAATAATAATTGTCCCTCAGTGGTACAAAAAAAGTATTTGACAACTAGTCAAAAGAAGTCTTAACTTAGTTCTCCACAAGTCCAAACTAGAATTGTTAGAACCATTGATGGATGTAGTAGAGCAACTATTTTAGTAGGGTAACTATTTTTAAATTGAAATTGACAGTCTAGGCTATGAAATTATAGGGTGGGGAGAATGTGTGGAGAAACAGGAGAGAATTTAATTCCTGAAGATGACACTATAGACCATATGAAGATGTTGTGTGCATGAACTGAGAGTCTTCTCTCCACCTCCTCATTATATGGCACTTCTTCCCAAAATGGCATGGATAGGGAATGGGGTATGGGGGTGGGTGGAGTGTGAAGATTGAAAGAAGCACCTGCTTTCCAAGATGTTTGTTTTCAACTGAGTTCCAAAGGATCTATAAACTTCTGGGAATGGTTCTTCCTGTCTTTATTGACAGTGTAATCTTTGCTGTGTCTTGAAGGTCCTGGCCCACTGTGAAAATTCACTGAGAGCCAGGCATGGATGAGGATCTGTGGTTGGGTGGTGGGCCTCACTGCATATCTGCATATCTCCTTGGTGCATGCCATCCCTGACCCTCTATGGTCCACTCTGACCTTTTTTCCCAAGGTCAATTGTGATTAAATTCCAATAGTAGCATGCACTAACACTATGGACCCTAATGACCCAGAAGCAGGCCACCAACTCTCTTGTTTATGAAATAGTTTACAAGAAGTACTGCTTGATCCTGCCTGCAGGGTCCTTGAGGGAAGTGTACTACAGATCATTCTGAAACAAATGAAGAAAACTGGAATTAATATCAACTCTTGACAGGCTAGTTAAAATGAGTATTTTTTGCATTTAATTTTAATACATATCATGTTTATTTCTGTTGGCTGCTTCTTTGTAGTAGATCTTCAACAAAGAAAAATTGGAGGTGAGCAGGGAAAGGGATTCAGGGTTTCAATGGCAATGGCTGGTGATGGGCCTGTTATGAGGGCCATGATGTAGCCAGAAGTATCCCCTTTCTCTTGGTTCTTAGGAACAAAGCAAGAGCTGCCAAACACTCCTAGCACCTTCACAGATTCTTAGTGTTAGAACCTAGTCAGCTTGGGTTACTTCAGTTCTACCTAATCATGCACAGTTGTCTCTGTTGTTATTGCTGGAATGATTGTGCAAAGGAAGACAACATTCTGGTAGTCACCAAAGTCAGAGCAAACAAGAGCAACCTTTTTGTTTAGAATTATCTAAATATAAATGCTCCCAAATGGAGATTTAAATTACAATATGAGTGAGATTTATAGGCAAGTGATATACAGCCCTAATCCTGGGGCATGTCATTGTTAGGTATGTTGAGTAGGTTCCCACTCATAGCAACACTATGAAAAACAGAATGAAACACTGCCTGGTCTTGTGCCATCCTCACAATTGTTATATTTGAACCAATTGCTGCTGCTGCTGTTAGTTCATCTCATTGAGGGTCTTCCACTTTTATGCTGACCCTCCACCTTACCAAACAAGGAGTCCTTCTCCAGGTGCTGGTTCCTTCTGATAATATATTCAAAGTAAGAGAGATGAAGTCTAGCCATCCTCACTTTTAAGAAGCTTTCTGACTACAAGAATGCAAGACATATTTGTTTGTTCTTCTAGAAGTCTATGATATTTTAAAATATTTTTTACCAACACCATAATTCAAGTGTATTGATTCTTCTGTGGTCTTTTTTATTCACAAGCACATGAGGCAAGTGAAAACACCATAGCTGTGTCAGATACACTTTTGTCCTCAAACTATTATCTTTGCTCTTTAACCCTTTAAAGAGGTCTTGTGCAGCAGAGTTGATTATTGCAGCACATCATTTGATATCTTGACTTCTGCTCCTGCTCATCTGAGGCATCCAAAATATCAAGTGAATTCAAAACCATTTTTCTTTTTCTCTATTTCAACATGGTGGAATGAACAAAAAGGATTGTGGATCCAAATATAATAAACTTTTTGACAATTTCAATAATTTCTCCATTTATCACAATGATATTTATTGGTCCAGTTATGAGGATTTTTGTAATCCTAGGTCATACTGTACAGAAAATGCTATCTTTTTAGTTCTCCTCCAGAAGTGAAATGGATATATATCTAGAAATCAGTTCCAGAGTAGACATACCCAGGCAATAGATACAGTGATAATCCATGCCCCAAATTAGAAATAAAAACCCTTTCAAATTTTGATTTTTCCCCCTAAACAAAGCTATATTTCTGAAGGATAGATTTTTCTAGTAGTAACCTGAAATGGGGAGGAACAGGATATGATTAACACTGAACTGTGAACCACAAGTCCAGTGGTTCCAGCCCTCCAGCTACTTCACAGGAGAAACATGATATTTCTATTTCTGCAAAGATTAACAGCCTTGGAAACCTGTACAGGGTCACTGTGAGTCAGAATTAACTCAACAACAGTAACAACAACCTGAAATGGGTAAAGAACAACTTTATCTAAACCTAATAGTTAGAAAAAGGCAGTGGTTGTTCAGTTGTAGAGTTTTACCTTCCATGAAGAAGATCTGGATTTGATTCCTGGCCAGTGTACCTCAAAGGCAGATACTACCTGTCTGTCAGTGGAGGCTTGTGTGTTGCTGTGTGACTAACCAGGTTTCATTGGCACTTCCAGACTAAGACAGATTAGGAAAAAAGGCATGGTGATCAACCCCTGAAAATAAGCCAAGGAAAGCTGTATGTATGGATCACAACAGTTCAAACCACAACTAATAACAGCTGCAGGACCAGGTAGTGTTTCATTCCATTGTGTATGGGGTTGCTGTGGGTTGGAGGCCAACTCAATGTCAGCCAACAACAATAAAGTAGTTAGAAGATGTAGCTGTATGGGAAGAAAAGGGTTTCTTGGAACATGTCACGAAAAAGAATTCAAGACTCTGGAACTGGTCTGTCAACTCCAAGTCTCTTGGGAAAATCCCACCTGTGCCCTCTGCATTCTATTCTGTTTCAGAGTGGGATCCTTGGGAATATTCCAAAGGGACTTAGTGACAGAACCCTAAGGAAGTGTACAACATCCCTAACTCTCTCTTCCCAAAGGGATAAACAAGTACCCGTGTCTCCCTGTAACAGTCACATGAGGAAGCTGCATTCAAGCCAGGAAGGGAAAATTGGGTTTCAGAAAAACAGGAACCATAAGAGGTGCCTTCAGTAAGTTTAAGTGTTTTCCAGAGTCCATTCATGTTCATAAAATTAGAGATTCAGTTAAAGACCCACAGAAGGAAAACCTTTGCAAATTGAAAGAAGCTGGGACTCTTTATATTGATGAACAGTCTCTCTCTAATTGTCTCTACCCATCAGGAATCAGGACTGAACTGGGTCTATAGAAGAAAAGCCCTAGACATTCAGGATTCTCTAAGAATGGGGAATGATCTAATAGGGATCAAAATCCTTTATAAAGATCTGTAAACCCAAGGTACACCATGAGTTCTACCCAGAAACTTAGCAAGGTCTCACTCTGACTTGCTCCTTCCCAACCCAAATTCTCTCTGCCTCTGAGTCTGAGAACAGATTTGATGCATTAGACACTAATGACCAAAGACCAGAAGAGCTGTGAGTTGACATCAAGAACATGATGCATGAGGAAAGCAAAAGGTCATTAAAAAGACAGAAAAGAAAGAAAAATCAAAACTAGATATCAGAAGACACTCTGAATGAAGCTTGCTTTCCAGCATAGAGATGCTAAGGTGAGTGGAAGAAATGAGGCAGTAAAGAGCTGAACAGAAAATTTAAAAGGACAACTCCAGAAGGCAAAGTCAAGTATTATAATGAAATGTGCAAAGACCTGGAATTAGAAAATAAAAAGAGAAGAGCATACTCAGCATTTCTCAGGGTGAAAGAACTGAAGAAAAAAATGCAAGCTTTGACTTGCAATATATTTAATTGGACTAATGGGCAAAATATTGAATGATACAGAAAACATCACAAGAAGATGGAAGGTAGAAAGAGTCATTGTAACAAAAAGAAATTTTAATATTCAACCATTTCAAGAGGTAGCATATGGTTAAAAACAAATGATACTGAAGGAAGAAGCCCAAGCTGCACTGAAGGTATTGGCAAATAACAAGTCTATAGGAATTGACAGAATATATATTGAAGTCTTTCAAAAAGCTGAGGCAGCATTGGAGACACTCACTCAGCTAAGGCAAGAAATTTGGAAAACAGCTACCTGTCCAATTGATTGGAAGAGACCCATACTTGTGCCCATTCTAAAGAGAGGTGACTAAACAGAGTGTGGCAATCATCAAGCCATATGATTAATATCACATGCAAGTACAGTTTTGCTGAAGATAATTAAAAAACGGCTTTAACAGTACATCAACAGGGAATTCCTAGAAACTCAAGCCAGAATCAGAAGAGGATGTGAAACTAGGAATATCATT